CCGCTGATACTGTGTCATTTTACTTCTCTTTACAAAAGATCAAATTCTCCATGAAAAATTTTGTGCTGTGTCTTATGCAAAGAACTCTTTCCTGCACAGGTTCTTGTCCGAGAGGCAGACAGCTGACAGGAATTTCGCTATTGGATACTACATGAAAGAAAAACAGGTAAGCTGTTCTCTGCGTAAGTGGTTCTTTGTGACTTTTCCATCCTCGTCTTATTCTGCACCTTTTTGTGGCTTGGAGTTTTGGTTCTGTGTTCTACTTATTTCTTAGATGGGGCCATTCTTCTTTTTGCAGGAAATCTTATCAGGTTAGTTATAATGTAGCACATGACCTAGCTGCCTTTAGAAAAACTGATTGAGTTTTTGTCACACGATGGTTGGAGGAAGAGGAGAGAGGGAGAGAGAGAGAGAGAGAGGGAGGGAGGGACGGACGGATGGACGGACGGACAGACGGACGGACAGACAGACAAGAGAGAGAAAGAAAGGGGAGGGAGTGAGGAATGAGAGAAGGAGGTAGAGTGAGAGACGGAGGGAGAGAGAGAGAGTAAGAGAGCAAGAGAGAGAGAGTATGAGAGAGCGAGAGAGAGAGAGAGTGAGAGAGAGAGAGATGGAAGGAGAGTGAGAGGGGGAGAGATAGAGAGAGAGGGAGGGAGAGAGAAAGAGAGAGAGAGAGAAAGAGAGACAGAGAGAGAGAGAGAGAGAAGGAAAGAACAAAGGAAGGAAGGAGGGAGGGAGGGATTATATTTTTATTTTGCTATCGATGAACATAACACTGTAGAAATATCCTAAGTTCTACACTTCACTAAGCTCCTTACCTCCACCTTTTTAAATATAGTATTGAGCCTAAGGTTACATGCTCAAAGGTTACTGGATTGACAACAACAGTAACAACAACAACAACAACAACAACCACCACCACAACGGCAACAACAATAACCACCACCACCTCCACAACAACAACAACAACAACAACAACAACCACCACCACCACAACAGAAATAACACCAACAACAACCATCTCCACCACCACCACCACCCCTACTACAACAGCAATAACAACAACAGCAACCACCACCACCACCACAACAACAACAACCACCACCACCACCACAACAGCAATAATAACAACAACAACAACAACAACCACCACCACCGCCACCACCACAACAACAACAACAACCACCACCACAACAGCAACAACAATAACCACCACCACCACAACAGCAGCAGCAACATAATGTAATCCATCATTTATGTTCACCCTCTAATCCACAGTGCTTCCCCAAAGGAACCAATCTGAAGGAAACTCTGGACTTCTATTTCCAGGTAGTACCCAGTGCTGATGCTTTTTTCTTCTTTATTATTTACATACTAATTAAACTTTTTTTCTTTGGGAACAACTAAAGCCCCCCCCCCTACCCTCCCCACCTTCCACTTACCTAAGCGCTGAGTCTAATCCCCGTCTTACCTTAAGACTGACAGTATATCCTCTCCTCCTACATTAACCCTTACTCTCCCCACTCCTTCCCTAACCTTAACCTCCCACCCACTCCACACACACCGTTATTGTTTATTTATTTATTCATTTACAAATACATTATGAGGGCTGGGAAGATCCTGATTCTACTTTTCAGTCCATATTCAGAGCAAGTTACTCTGTAAAAATTATTTTGTACGTTATGTTTTTCAGTAACAGACTTATGTATAGTTTGTACGATATCTTTTCCCTAGGAAAACTTTATGTAAACATTTAACCCAAATTTTCAGTGATTCATAGTTGTTCTGTGTGTGTGTCTCCTGTGGCTGCAGGTGGTTGGACGGCGCCTCTCGTAGTCCTACTTCTCATCTTTTCCCAATGTTTTTCCCTGATCTAAATGACCATCATTGTGTCATTGGTCATTATATAAGTTTAACAGCCCTTTCAACACCGTAAAGTTATTTATGAGGCAGGACCCCTGACTTTAACACCATCTCCAATAGTACAGAGCCAAATAGATGGAGAACTTTAAAAACTCCCCAAAACAGCCCAAGTTCAGAACGCCGTATTGGAGATCAAACCAGGGCCATCTGCTCCGCAGTCCAGCATGATACCAACTGAGCTAATGATGTGTCCCCACCATTGTGCTTTTCTTTATTCAAACAAACAAACATGCGAACCAAAAGAAAAAGAGTTCTTCATTGTTTAATGTGTGTGTTCTGTTGGGGATTCAAACTAAGGTCATGTGCACCACTGTCCAGCATGATACCAACTAACCACTAGTTAACGGTGTGCCCCCATCTTTGTGCCAAAGTTGTTCTCTTTACTCAAACAAACAAAGCAAACAAACAAACAAACAAACACAAGCAAGTGCCTCTTAGCTCAATGTGTGTGCGTGCATGCGTGCATGCGTTTATATCTATTTTTTATAGTCGAGGGTTTTAGGGCGCTTGCAACTGCTGCGCCTGCATGTGGTTCTGTGTGTGTTCCCAGTAGTTGATCATCTGTCCGTGTGTATCCCCCCAGCTGTGTTCCGTGGAGACGACGTGCGACTCGGCCTCGGTGATCGCCGCCACGCTGGCAAACGGGGGCATCTGTCCCGTCACGGGGCTCAAGGTGCTCGAACCCTACTGCATCCGTGACACGCTCAGCCTCATGCTGTCCTGTGGCATGTACGACTACTCCGGACAGTTTGCTTTCAAGGTGAGTGGAGTAGGGGGTGGTTGGTGAGTGCTCTGGTGTGGTTTGCTCCCTCTTTGCTGTCAAACATCTATCGTCCTTATCTCTCCTCCTTCTTTTTTGTGTTTGTTACTCTCTTGTAACCCCTCTAATCTCTGGCACTTATATGATCTTATTGTGTTGCAAGTGCTGTAAAACACTTAAACTAAAAGGGGAGTTGGGTAGGGGATGGGGGGGGGGGAGGGGGGTGGCTTTAAGGGGAGGGGTTAGTGGGATGGATGGGTAAGAAGAGAGAGGTTGGGCTGGGGTTGGTAAGGAGAGGAGGGGAGGGATGGATGGATCGTTACGGGTGGGAGCATCTGGGGGGAGAGGGGGGGGGGGGGGGTTAGGGGTTTAGGAATGAGGCCTTTCACTTTGGGGCTGGAAAATTTGTGTGATTGTCGTTTTTCTTGATTTTGGAATCTTTACTCACTTGAGCCTGAGATATTTTTCCCCCAACGACCATTGCAGCCTGACTTTTTTTGTGATGTTTTGAAGTGTTAACCTCAAAAAGACTGTGAAAGCTATCATAATAGTAGAAATACAACAAGAGAAAGAAATAAATCTTTAAAAAAAAGAAAGAAAACTGCTTCTAATTTGTCCAAATAGTTTTTATTTTATCAGTATTTTGAAATAGCAATGTCATGGGGTTATGTAATTTTTTCTGCGCCCAATTTATAATAAAATCATCCCTCGCAATGCAGGGGTGACTTACTTAGTCCGTGTCAGTTAAAAAAGTATAGCACATAATTTCTCCAAATTTTTGACGAAACGAAACAAGTAGGTCAACTGTTGGTTCGCTGCCTCGCGTAGCTTATAACCGAAAAACACCGGAGATATCGATCGATCAAGCGCATCCCGTAAATACATGGGATTAGGCCCGGGCGTCCCGTAGATACACGAGAATAGGCTCTAGTGAGTTAATGTTACTTCTCTATTCATAAATTCGTCTGTCTGTTTATCTGTTTATCCATCTGTCCTTCTGCCTGTGCACGTGGTTGGAGGATGCCAGTGGTAGGTCTCACTTCTTGACTCTTCCTCTACTGGTGTCTGTGGTATAGTGGGTAGGTGTTTTGCTTTGGCATTTAGAAGACCTGAGTTCGATTCCCGAGTGGGTAGAATTTTAATTGAGTATCTCAGTCTTTCTGCAGGGATGTATTGTTCCTCTCGGTATGTGTTGGCCCTGACAAGCAAGTCGGAAATCCGCCTCCTATGATCTAAAATGGGAGCGTAAAAACACCTACATTAGAATTTGAATAAAAAGCGAACATAATTAAATGCTCTTGATGGAGACTCGGGGTGCATGTTCAGTGATAAATACTTTTTTTTTTGGTCTGAACTTACAATAACACACTTGGCCATTCACAGGTGGGCTTGCCAGGAAAATCTGGCGTGTCAGGGGGCATAATGCTGGTTGTGCCTAACGTGATGGGCATGTTCATGTGGTCGCCTCCTTTGGATGGCTATGGCAACAGCGTTCGTGGGATTCAGTTCTGTGAGGTAAGTGTCTTGTCATCCCTGATGTACAGAAGATACTGTCTAGAAATGTTGATTAAAACTTGTTCACCGTTACTATTACAGATGTAGTGCATTGGTTGTTGGCGGATGCTCTGATGTGGTATGCTTCTTCTTTCCCATCAAACATCTGTAAGTGGGTGGTTGGCGGGTGCTCTGGTGTGGTTTGCTTCTTCTTTCCTATCTAACATCTATCGCCCTTATCTCCCCTTCTTCTTTTTTATGTTTGTTACTCTCTTGTAACGCCTCTAATCTTCTGGCGCTCATTTGACCTTTTGCAGTTGGGAGTGCTGTAAAATCTCTACTAAAACTAAACTAAAACATCTGTTATCCTTATCTCTCCTCCTCCTTCTCTTTGTGTTTTACTCATTAGTAGCAACCCTAATCTTTGGCACTAATCTGACCTATATTTGTGTTTAAAGTGCTGTAAAACTCTTACTAAATGTATACAGTTAAAAGTAAAACGTAAAATAAGGCACTGTGTCCCTCTCTCTCTCTCTCTCTCTCTCTCTCTCTCTCTCTCTCTCTCTCTCTCTC